AGAGGGGAGAGATAGGCGTTGTGTAGGAGAGCGGCCAGATTTCGGCTAAATTATTCTTGGCAGGACAAAACTTTTGTGAGGCACCTCCGTACCAATTAGTAGTGTAACGGACCGAAGGCCGCTCGGCAGAGTTAGTGTGGGTGGTCAATGCGTGCAACGGGTCAGACAATGCAACACCCCCTGCATCTCCCAAAGTAGAACCCACCAATTTCAAATCCCCACAACTCCACCACCATGACAGCTATCGAAAAAGCGCTTGCGGCAATCAATTCGCAAGGTCCAGAAGGACAAATCTCGTACCGTGCAGCTGCAAAAATATATGGTGTTGCGGCATCAACTTTGACGCGTCGCCACCAAAACAAAACGCGGTCGCGTGCAGCCGCTGCACACCCACGACGACTACTCTCACCACAACAAGAGAAATACCTTGTCCAGCACATAGAAAAACTCTCTGAGCGTAGTACTCCACCGTCCCGAGAGATGATTAAAAAATATGTTGCCAATATTGCAAAAAGACAGCCATCTAACAGCTGGGTTACAAGATTTCTTCGGCGGAACAGAGAGAAAATTATTACCAGAAACACCGCCGGCATCGACCAAAACCGCAAAAAAGCTGACGATTTTGAAGATTACCATAATTACTTCCGTCTACTGCACGATTATATCGAGAAATACGATATCTAGCCGCAAAATATCTATAATATGGACGAAAAGGGCTTTCTCTTTGGTGTCACTTTAAGGACTAAAAGGGTGTTCTCTAAGAGACTTTGGGATGAAAAGAAAGTTCGAGCAGCTGTTAGAGACGGTAGCAGGGAGTAGATAACAACTTTAGACTGTATTTGTGCTGATGGGAGCTGGATATCGCCTATGATAATCTTTGAGGGCAAAGCTGGACTTCGAAACAACTGGGTAGAGCACCTAGATCCTTCCTAACACTAGATGTTTTTTGCTACTAGCGACTTGGGCTGGAGTAACGATATCCTAGGGCTATCTTGGCTTAAGCAGGTGTTTTAGCGCCAAACGAAAGACAAAGTAAAGCGTGATTATTGGTTGCTGATCCTAGATGGTCATGGGAGTTATTAGACTCTAAGTTTTTGAGAGTTTTGTGACTCTAACAGGATTCTCCTAGCTACTCTCCCTCCCCACTCATCTCACTGACTCCAGCCACTCGACGTTGGCATGTTCAAGCCCCTCTCGAGCGCGTATACCGAAGAACTCAATAGTCTGTCCCACCGCAGTCAAGGCTTGGTGGAGGTGCACAAAAGTGACTTTTTATGGTTATTTTGGGCGGCGTGGACACGGGCGTTCACGTCTAACAAGATACTGAGCTGTTTTCGAGCTACTGGCGTCCACCCGCAGGATGGTAATGCCGTGCTTAAACATCTTAAAAAGTCAACACCACAACAAGATATTAATCCAGAACTTGGAGAGCATGGTGATGGGGATACTGCAAGAGAGCTGTCTAATTTTCTAGACAAAACTATAACGGGTTGTGCTGAAGTTATGGTCTCTGCGGTGAAAGACACCATTGCTTCACTCCAGGTCAACAACGAGATTTTGCACCACGAAAACACCAATCTACGAGAAGTACTTGCTATCAAAAATCATCCAAAGAAGCAAAAGAAGCCTCTAGAGCTCCAGCAAAGCAAGCAGTATCATACTCCGGCGGTGGTGTGGAGTCCTAGGACAATAGAAGATGCGAGAGCTCAAGAACGTCAAAAAAAACACCAAGAAGAGCTTGAAAAACTCCAAAAAAAAGAGAAACAACAGGAACGAGCTGCTAGTATAGCTCTACGAAAAAAAATTAATAGACGAGGCAAGGACTGCGCGAGAGTTGAAGAAAATAGCGAGGGATAAAGAGAGAGAAGTGAGGGCCAAAGAACTCCAGTTAAGACGCGCCCAAAAAGCTCGCGATCGCGCAGTCGCAACTTCAAAAAAAGCTCGCGATAAGCAAAATATACCTAAACGAAAAGCTTCATCGTCTCAAAAGTCAAAAAAGTCAAAGGGTGGTGGTGATGCAGGCAGCCAAAGTGGTGGTGCGTCTGCATCGTCGGCTGCGCAGCCCACCAC